ATTAACACAGCCCATGCATGCCATTCTGCTTTTAAGATCTATGTTATTGGGGACCGGCGGCATGGCCTAGCAGCTAAAGTCCTCGCCTCCCACATGCCAGGATCCCACATGAGCACCGGTTCTAATCCTAGCAGTCCCACTTCCCATCCAGCTCCCTGCCTATAACTTAGGGAAGCAGTCGAGGATGGCCCAAAGCCTTGGGACCCTGGACCAGTATGGGAGACCTGGAGGAGGTTTCTGGCTCCCAGCTTCAGATTGGCTAAGCTCCAGCTGCTGTGGTTACTTGGGAAGTGAATCATCAGACAGAAGATCCTCCTCTCTGTCTCTCCTCCTCTCTGTATATCTGATTTTTTTTAAAGATTTATTTTTATTTTTTTTTTTATTGGAAAGGCGGATATACAGAGAGGAGAGACAGAGAGGAAGATCTTCCGTCCGATGATTCACTCCCCAAGTGAGCTCAACGGTCGATGCTATGCCGATCTGAAGCCAGGAGCCTCTTCCAGGTCTCCCACGCGGGTGCAGGGTCCCAAAGCTTTGGGCTGTCCTCAGCTGATTTCCCGGGCCACAGGCAGGGAGCTGGAAGGGAAGCGGGGCTGCCGGGACAGAACCGGCGCCCATATGGGATCCTAGGCGTGCAAGGTGAGGACCTTAACCACTTGCGCCACCGTGCCGGTCCCTGTATATCTGATTTTGCAATAAAAATAAATGAATCTTTTAAAAAAGATTTATGTTATTGTATATATTTAAAGAGTATAATAGGATGTTTTGATAAACACAGGGAAAGGATTATAATAGTTAAACAAGTGAACATAGATGTTGCTCTCCTTAGCTACCTTTCTTGTGAGTAATAAAAATCCCCAAACTTCACTCAGCACATTTTCAGGATTCATCACAACAACTACAGTCTACATGTTATGCTTATTCATTCTATATAGCCGCTCTTCGACCTGCTTCTCTTTATTTCCTTTTCTCTGGCTGATAATCACCATTCTACTCCATTTCTATTCATTCAGCTTTTTAAAATTCCACATATAAATGATATCATGCAGCATTTTTTTTTCTGTTTCTGGCTAATTTCACTTAGCATCATGTCCCCCAGGTCACTGTCACTGTCACAAATGGCCTTCTTCTTTGTAAAGGCTGAATGGTATACTGTGCACAAGGACCCATCCTGCCCTGTCCTCCATGGCGTCCTTAGAAACAGGACAAAGACTGAGGACAGAAAAAAACCTGTTCTGGATGTTCGTTGTTGGCTCTCTAAGCTCACGGTCTGCAGTTCTTAGCGCTGTGCTCTGGGAAGCGGACTTTTGCAGCCTTCCTGCCCCAGTGAATCCCTGCTGAGTCAGTGGGAAGGGATCAAACGGCCAGCAGACAGGCCATGTATTCTCCCAGCCTGCTTCCTGCTGGGCTTCAGTTGATGGTAGTTGCTCTTCTGTGCAAGTGAGGGTACGGCTCTCAGTGGGCTCCAGTCACTACTCTACCTGGAGTCTTCAGCCCAAGTGTGGAAATGACCACATCCAGCTCTTGAGGAAACCAGGTGCTTCACTGTCCTATTCTGGCTCCCTTTCTCTCTGCCCATGCTTAAATCTTCACTACAAACTATGGGCTCACCCTTTTCTTGTAGGAACCTTCATTCACACGGTGCTTCAACTATTTGGCTATTGTGGACCCTAACCATAACCCACACACTAAATTGTTTGTGAGGATGGTATTGGTTTTTTTTTAAGATTTATTTATTTGACAGACTCACAGTAAGAGGAGAGTGAGGGGGAGAAATGGAGAGATAGGGAGACAAAGTCTTCCATCTATTGGTTTATTTTCTCCAATGGCTAAAATGGCCAGAGCTGGGCTAGGTCAAAGTCAGGAGCTCTGTCTGGTTCTCCCATGTGTGTGTAGGGGCCCGAGTACTTGGACTGTTCCCAAGCACATCAGCAAGGAGCTGGACTACAGAATTGGAGCTGCTAGGTCTCTAACCTGTGCTAACATAGGATGCTGGCATTGTGGGTGGCAGCCTGATGCCAGCTCCATTAAATGAGTTTTTAGTTCCTGAATTCTCTTTACTGTTTTCAATAAACATAATTTAGGTTGCTAATGTTTTCCTCAAGGTTCAAATGACTCCAAAAAGTATATTCCTTTCCACTTCCTTCCTTCCTTCTTTCTCCCTCACTGCCTCAGTAAAGAGTCTAAGCAAGTACCAAGCATGAAGAAGTGTACTGCCCTGGAGATCAACAGTTAGAACACAGCCAGTTCTTTAAGGAACTTATAGTCAGGTGTAGGATAAGTATTACACTGGGACGATGGCTCAGGGCTTTGCTAGTGGGGGCAGAGACTCCAGCACCTGCCTGGAGGCCAACATTCTGCAGTCCTGCTCCTCTTGCTCTTGCTTGTCATATAACCCATTCGACACACGCTTGTAGCTCCCTAAAAGCAAGCTTTGACAACATGTCCCTGTCCTGAGCACTCTACACTCATGCGCTCATGTGCTACAACACCACTCTGAATACTACCAAAAAGTCAGCAGACCTTATCACCTCCACCAACACAGAAGCCAACCAAGGCTGAAAGATGCTACGCAAGAAACCTGTTCATGTGCTGTGTGGCATCCACCTGAAACACGCATCCGCTAATGATCACTTTTCTCCAAGGCTGAAAATCTCTCCACCTTGGATTTCCACCTCAAAGCCGCAGTGCTTCAGGAAGAGATGAAAAACCTGTGCTCCTCCCGGAGACTTCTAATGGCTGAATAGGAAATGTGGTGTCGGCAGGCCAGGAAGCTGTCGTCACCTCTCTTCATTACACTAATTGCTCTGAAGATGAAATACGGCCTGTTTCCCCTCTCCTTATCCTACCGGCACACACAGCTCGGTTGCATCAGATCATCATCTGCTACAGGACAGGAAAGGCTTTTTCATTTTGCCCTCATTATACAGAAGACAGAATGACAGCCCATAATAGGTGATCGATTCACCACGTTCCACTGCAGGTGGGAGGTGGCCCGTGTCCTAGGGACTGACACTGTCATCTTTACTACCTTTTTCTCCCAATTCTGTGCCATCCTAGAACCATGTCCTCCCAGGCTGCACACATCTGAATGCATCTGGCCTTCTGCACCCATTCCAGCTCCTTCTGGTCTCTGTGCCCTTTGCCCACACTGCCCCGATCTGAATATCAAGGCCATTCTCAGTTACCTAATTGTGATGCACGAGTTGTGCCTACCGGCCAGGGCTGATTCTGCTGCATGGGAGATGTCCTGATGCTGAGGCAACAGGAGGGATCTGCATGAAGTTTAGGAATGAAGTCCACGTATTTCACCTGCAAAAAGCACCCCTTTTCTGCATGTTAGCAGCAAGGGAGGCTGATTTCAACAAATGCTCATGTAGCCTAGCCTCAGTACACACACCTGTCACATCCTCTCAGTCCACCTCTCCCTCCTTCCCCCCTCTGCAGCAGCTCCTCACCCCTCACACACACATATTCATCTGTGCCCAGCTTCCACTTTCAGGAACAACTCCACAGGGCCTCATCTCTTGCCATGCCATGCACCTGCAGCTTCCAGACCAGGAGCTTCCTGCAGACCTCAGAAGTGAGCAGGGGAGTTTAATGATGTGATCTCCTTACCCAACAGGGGTCATGAATCTATGGATAATGCTTTTCTCTTGTGTCCTGGAGCAGACAGGGCTAAGATCCTTCGAGGGGGTGAAGCATGGGGTCAGGCCCATCAGGGCCCTCCTTTTTTATCTCACTCTGACCCTCGACCCAGCACCCTGTGGAGCAGCCAGCCTAAGCCCGGGAAAGCTGATCATGCTGGCTTGATATTAACTGAGAAGTAGCTGAGAAAAATTACATCTTCTAAGATCCTATCTTTTTTTTTTTTTAAGTTTCCTTTTGTTTTCTTCCTCCCTCTGTGTTTCATTAACTAACTGCCAAGGTCCCATGTAGGAAAGGCCTTATATTAGCCTGTTCTCATGCAGGTTAAATGAGCCTAGGATTGCACTACTTATTTCAAGGACTGTGATGGGAATGACTGCATTGCAGTTGGGGGCTTTCCTACTTACTGGCTTGGGGAGCAAACTGGATTAAACAGTAACTTAAGGGTAGAGCTTTTTCTTGTTTTTTTTAAAGGAGAGAGCAGGCATGGAGCCAAAAAGTTAAGACACACCCCTACCCACATTCAGTCATACTGATTCTTGGCTCTGGCTTCTAATTCCAGTTTTTCACTAACCCCACCCTCACCCCGTCCCCAAAGCTGACCTTGAGAGGCCCCAGTGAGGGCTCAAGTAAAGGGGTTCCTAACACACACGAGACCTGGGTTTCTTCAGCCCTGCTCAACCTCAGTTATTTAGGAGAGGAGTGAACCGGAGGATGTGAAAGCGCTCTCTGTGGTGCACTCTTTCTCAAATACTGAATAGTTTAAAAACATTCAGAAAAGTTGCTCAAAGGGAAGAACATTGAGGCTACTCGGGAGCAAGGCAGGCAGCGCCCCTGGTGTCTCTGCTTTTGTTCGGAGGTGGAGTTGGAGAGGCTCCCAAAGCCCAAGGGCTTATCCGGCAGCTCCCGTTTACTCCCAGCTGCCCGCAGCCAACCTCACGGTGTTTACCAGAATACGCATGGTTTGCAAACCCAGATGCCAGACTCCCTCTCCCTGAGCTGCTCAACTCGCTGGATCCCAATTCCTTGCTGGCTTTTCCCCAGGAAGAAAAGAGCAGGGCTGGGAGCGGGTGGAGTTCGGAGCGTGCACTCCCCTCGTCCTCTCCCTCCCCTCTCCCCACCCCGGAGGTTGGAATTTCTGGGATGGGCTGATGGGTCGCCGCCTCTTCTTCTCCAAACCGGAGGAGGGAGGCGGAGATCTTCTGAGTATCTGCACCCTGTGGCCACAGGGGTGGCAGAGTGTGTCTACCTGCGCAGTGAGAGGACGAGGCCCTGGAGTCGGAGTGGCTTAGGCTGTGGCTCCGCTGGCACTAGGAGCAAGGACGTGCGGGCGGCGTGCCTAGTGGTTAGCGATGCTGCAGCCGGGGCTGCTGCTGCTGCTGCTGCTGCTGCTACTGAGAGTGCCATGGGGCTGCACTGAGGGCGCGACGGAGACGGGGTTCTCCCGTGAGCAAATCCTCCAGTGGCTGGGTGAGTGTTGCAGCCGGGAGACCAGAGCCCCACACGCCGGGCGGGGGCGGGGGTGGTTGGGCAAGAATGGGAAGGGGAGAAGCTGGGGGCTGGTGGCGTTTGGGGGCAGCATAACTGGAATCTTGAGAAAGTGTCCTGTAGCAAGAGCGGTCCTGGACGCCACCCTAGCCTCGTAGTCTCCTGGCCTCTGTGTAGGACCAGGGTTGGGTCCATCCAAGCACCAGAACAGAAAAGCTGTTTCAGAATGAAAACAGGATTGTTTACTCGTGATCCTCTCGAAAAGGTTTCCCCTGGTAAAGCAAGTTGCAGCGGAATGAGCCAGGCCAGGTCCCTGTGGGCCTTAAAACTTCATCTTTATTAACCCCTCTGTGGTGAGGGCAGGGTACAGACAGAGAGGATCCCCCTAACCGTCCAGGAGCTGGAGCAACTGGCACAAATTATTCCCTTAGCAATGCAGTTTCTCTGGGCTGAAAACAGAAAACAGGGCTGCAATGTCCCTAGGTCTAGAAGCTGGCCTGGGTGCACACAGATGGACTCTGTGTGCCCTAAAGGGACAGATAGGGAGAGGCTTCTGGCTGCGTGTGTGTGTGTGTGTGTGTGTGTGTGTGTGTGTGTACTAACGACCCAGGAGGAGCACCAGGCACCTTCCTTTCTGCTCCGCCTGTGAAGAAAGGGGAAGGAGGGACAGTGCCTTTCCTGCCTGTGCTCACTCATTTTTCTTTCCCAACACACCATATGTACACCTTTGAGGGGGTCATTTCTAGACCCTCTTTCCTGGCACCTACCTGGCAGGCATTCAGCGGTCAGGTTACATACCATCACACTCCTTATTCTAAAGGAATGGGAGGTCTGACAAGCTCTTCTTGTGATCAGGTCAATAAAAAGTTGTTCCTGTAGATTTACATCTGAACCAACTGCGTGCTCCATTTCCACCAAGCGTTTACCCTGCAATAACTCTTCCTTTGCCTTTGAAAATCTGCGCCTGTGATACCAGCATCCCACATGAGCTCCACCCTGTTATTGCTCCATTTCCCACCACACTGATTGAGGGAGTGTTCCCCCTCCTGGGCCTCTAATCCCCTGTTATTTGTGGCCTGCTTGACTGCACTCTTAGCAGACACAGAAAGTTGGTCACAGTGCACACGAGGCATGTGTAGGTCAATGAGCTGTGGGTTAGGGGACATGAGTAGGGACCCAACAGAATATGCCAATCATCTTCAGCTTGGGCAGATAAAAATTTGAGTAGGATATGACCCTGTCCAAGAAGCAGAGCAGGTACAGAAACAAACATACAGTTGCCAAACAGTAGGTAGGTGTTAGAATAACAAGGGATGCAGAGGAGGCTCCTAGCAGGGCACTGTTTTCTGAAAGGATAAGTAGGTAGTTGCCTAATGGGAAAAAGCCTGTCTCAGAGAACCTATTTTATGTACAAAGGCAAGAGTCACATGTCAGGCAACAACATAGGAGTGATCTACCATTCTGGTTGGGCGCTTCTGGAAGCAAAGGAGAAAAGCCCTTTGGATGTCAGCCAGGCAAATGTAGAGCCAGTCAGTAGTCAGTTCCAGGGTTAAAGGCAACTAATTGAACAAGTTCTTTTGTGCGACCAAGACTCCTGAAAATTGACCAATGAGAAAAAGCAGTTACTTTCTCTGTTGCTGTCTGGGACTGCATGATGTTCCTGGTTCAGATCTCCTTTCTGCTGACTGGGTTCTTCTGTTTCAACTTGGAGGACATTTCTTGTGTGGCTATCTCAGCTTGCTGAGAAGAGCCCCTTAGTTTTCTAGAAGAATCTAGCTACCTGCTCCATGTGCTGGCCAGTTTCTGGACTTTGCACTTGAATCAGAGACCTTCCCATGGCTAAATGGACATGGCAGGGGGTGAGAGGCCCACGGTGCTGATGGAGTGGATCCCTAGGCAGGACAGAAGGAAACGACACGCATCTATATTTGGAAGCACGAAAGAGGGAAGGAAGAGAAGGGTTTGGTTGGCGGCCACCTGCTTTTACAAATCCAGCCTGGTCAAATGAATTGGGCATCGCCCTTACTTTTGGATAAAGAAAATCAGATCAGACATTAAAGTTTGGGAATGTGAGATCAATTTTGTACTTGTAGGGGGTAATTCTGGAAAGTAGTAAAGGATCATCTGGAAGGTTACACCTGAGCTAGATCAGTTTCCATCATAATATTTTAGGGAAGAAACTTTCAAGACATTTCAATGAAACTTTTAAAATAACAGACTCCATGCAAGTTAGGAGATGAAAGAAGTTGTAGGATAGGAGGCATAGCAGTCATCACATTGTGGATGCAAGTTTGCAAAAATTCCCAAGTCTCTTCTTGGGAATGAGCAGATTCAAGATGTGGCTGGCTACAGGCATGGTCGCAAAGATGGAACAGTGTCCTCATAGAAGAGTGAAGAACCAGATCAATACCTGAATTGAAAGTTTCATTTAAAAATATCCTAGTCTATATGACACATAGCTGACTTTCTTCTTTGTTCCATTCTGTTTTCATGTTGTCATGCTAGGCAAGATTCACTTAAGGCATTTCATGACCATGAATGAACCACAGCATATAGTGGAGAAAGCTCAGGATCAGAGTGTTGGGTCATCTGTGTGGAAGTTCAAAGCTTTGGTATTGGAATGGACAGTGGAATCTTGCTGTGGTCCAATCCATTGGGCATGCATGGTACAGCAGTTCAGAATATTCCCCAGGGCTGAGGAAGGTGCCAGTGTGGGTAAGATTTCTGAAGGGAAGGCTACTTAGAGCCATGGCCACAGGTGGCACTAGGCAGGAGATGGGGCTTCCATCTTTAATACACTGGTAAAATGTCCCACTTTCTATAAAGGTTTATTTATTTATTTACTTATTGGAAAGGCAGATATACAGAGAGAAGGAGAGACAGAGAGACATCTTCAGTCTGCTGCTGGTTTACTCCCCAAGTGGCCACAATGGACAGAACTGAGCCAATCCAAAGCCAGATGCCAGGAGCTGCTTCTTTGTTTCCCATGCGGGTATAAGTTCTAAGGCTTTGGGCCATTCTCTGCTGCTTTCCCAGGCCACAGGAGGGATCTGGAATGGAAGTGGAGCAGCCAGGACTTGAACTGGTGCCCATATGGGATCCTGGCACTTGCAGGGTGAGGAGTTAGCCACTGAGCCATTGTACCAGGCCCAAAATGTTCCTGTAATGCTCCTAACATTTTCTAATGCCTGGGGAGTGGTTATTCCATGCTGCTTTATTATAACACATTGAATCCTCATCCTACCTATGTAGGTGTTACTAATAGGTAATCCTATTGTGACAGATGAGGAAGGCTTATACAGGAACTTGAAGTGAAGGGATTCGCGTCAGCCACTCAGCTCTTGGAAAAGGATCCCTGGATGCTGCTGAGATCCCATGACCTATCTCATTCTGCTCCACCCCTCACCCCCTGCATGATGGCAGCATGTGATTTAATTTTGCAAGAGGAAGAACAGGAAGGCAGCCTCTTGCTCTCATCATGTCCAAACCCCTGCACTTCCACATGTAAGACTGAGTATTTTCCTGAGGCAAACATGTGAAGAGCTACTGACTTGTTTCTTGTCCTAAGCAATTCTTACATCCCTAGGCAATGAGCCATTTTTAAAATCTAGAAATGTGGAATTTGGGTGAAGGCAGATAGTGTCAGATAGTGAGAGGGCTGCCCTCCCCGATCCTAAATCATGCCAGCCACCTGGGCTTGGCTTTTGTCGTCTTGCCTGGCACCCCCAGTCTCTCTTCCACTTCACACTTCTCTTATCCCACTGTCCTTGACTGGCTCCTTTTCTCACAAGCCTTTGCACATCAGCATGGATTTCCAGTGTTCCCGGGCCTTTCTGCTCTTAGGAAGCTTCTCTCTTTTCCTATTCTTGTTCGGAAGTTGCCACAAAAACAGATATCCCCATGCTGCTCGCAAGTCAGTGATGTACAGGGTTGGTCTGCAAAGATAGCTCAGTTATGTCCTCAAGCCCTAGGCCTTGACTTAAAGGTCTGCTTATTTACATTTGATCTTCTGAGGAGGTGGTTTTTTTCAAGTTGCCTCTTCTGAACTTTTTCCTTTTAGGCAACTCCTCATAAAATCTATCAAAGTAAAATATTTGAGACATTAATAGACTCTTCCCTTCATTTTCTGTCAGAAATTACCCTTGACAGTCTTTCAGGAGCCATCTCAATGCACAGCTGGGAACATACATTATAGCTTGCAGTGATCAAAGCGAACGGAGTAATGTTTAAAACTGAAACAAATGGAGTACCTTATAGGAACTATATTAAAATCATTTAGGGAAGACATTTTAGAAGTCCACTCTAGAAAGATGGAGAACTTTTAGAAATTCTATCACTCGGGTTGTATGATACACAGCCAAAGAAGATGAGGGGTTTCTGCCACTGCGTGTGACCATACAATTCTTTGATTTATGATGCTTTCCAGACTACTGGAATTAAGAAATAATGTTTAACTATTTCTGATTTGGGCCATGTCTTTTCAGTGAGGAAAACATAAACAGGAAGTTCAAAGAGATTATTTGGGCATTGTTTGGCAGCATCTGCATTCAAAGATGTGCTCTTATTAACATTCATCAAGTGATCTCTGTGCATGCCTTACCATAATCCTATGACCCCAGGCCAACTGTGAAAGCTATCCCACAGATGGGGACACCAAGGTTGCTTTCCTAGCTTTCGGTATTTCTGCCCTCAGAGCTGGGCTTTGCAGTTGTTCTTCTTCCAGAATGCTAGCTGTCTTCAAATAAGAACAGGGACAGCTTCTGGGCTTTGTGCATCCAGAAGCATCTCCCACTTAAGGTTTGATCACCTGTGGTTTGGTATGTTTGGATCTCTAAAATTTCTAAGAATTGAATGTGTGTGCCATGTATGAATCCCATTGGCCAAGGGCAGGTCCCTAGCTATCCATTCCCAGTTCTTACCTGACAGCCCTCTGCCTTCCACCCACAGTGCCAACCAGGTTGCATCAGGCATGAGAGGATGGA